TCATTTACCTTGATGTTGTTGTCGAGCGTTACCTGTCATTGGAGGCTCCCGGGTACGCCGGTGAAATCTGTCCGGTGATGTTTGTGACGCTCGCACTTTGGTTCCACTTTCAAACCTTTCTTTAAAAAAATAGACAACAATCATTCTTCAGTGTTTGTGGGTGAACACGAACTTGACCTCACAGTGTTTCATTAACATTTTGAAATAAATTCGGAGATTTAATCGTCTGTTTCTAGAACTGCGGGTGTCGATCTTGGCCGGTTTCAGCCCATCCCTCCTTCCTCTCGTCTCCTGGCCTCAGCCTCCTCCTTTGTCCTCGGTCAAAAACAGCCATGCCTTATTCAGCACTGAAATCTTAACGATGATTTGGGAAACACTTTATCCTGATGCAGTCCTCTGCATTTATGCAGGTGTGGAGCCAGCACTAAGAGTACACTGACCTGTGGCTGGAGTGTATTTATAAAATCAAACTCTAGTTTTGCTTCAGAGTAAAGCTAAAGGTCCAAACTCGGGTTGGATCTACTCGGCTTCTTCTATCATATGAATGTGGTTGAGCTGCTGCTTGGATGCTTGGAGGAGCAGCGCGGGCTGTGACATGCTCCATGTCAAACAGCTGTTAGCTGTTTTAAATGTTATGAACCCGTCTGTGAAGATTCGCCTCGGTCTCTGGTATCATCAGTGCTTCCATGAACTGGCCAACATCTACATTCATCATGACTAACATCTCGTCCTGTACGGTTGCACCATTCTTAATGAAGCTTTGCATAAACAGCTTATATTTTATACAAATGACACAATCATACATATGTGTCACATTAGATCACGATGATGCGACCGCTCCGTGTGGGCCGTCTCCCTGTCTCCAGGTTGGGGTCAGGTCTCCTTGTGTTTGTGCATCGATTAGGCGCCGTTTGTTTGTTGTGTTTTCCTGGCACTGCTGCATTATTAACACACTCAAACTAATAATAGAAACCAATAAATACATTAAAAACAAACTAGAGCCCGTCGATTTTACAGGTCTAGTCTATGGTTCCAGTAGTGAGAGGCTACAACACAGCAGCTATTACTACTGTTACTGCACAGGGACACGGAGCCATGCAGGTTTTCCCAGTGACGTTCCCGTTAATCCTCATTATTAATCCTCATCATACAAGAAGACATTTGAACTCAAGCAGTAACTCAAAACTTTGTAAAGATCTTTAAATACCAGCTTTATTCAAAGAGGTCAAAGACGACGTTTTGATAACAATCAGGTGTACATCAGTCGCTGACTGCAGGTGAGCTACAGGACACGCAGCAGGTTCTCACTCCACAGAGCAAGAGCCAGGTTGAGTTTGTCCTCCTGTGAGGGCAGCTGAAGCTGGGCAACAACCAGCTGCTCTGCCAGCTGGAGCTGCTGCAGGGCCTGGAGGTAGGACAGGGGGAACTGCAAGCCCTGCAGACACAGACACATGGCAGGGTTGGGGTGGAGACTTTTTCAACACATGTTCAACACACATCCATATAGTGCGGTTCATTGTCTCACTGTCCACGTCCAATCAGAAGGTAAACCCGGGTCCTTCTTCCAATACCTGATGATATAACACAGCTGCACATCTCACTGGTATTGACTCGTGGATATTTTCAGCCTCACAGTCTGGGCTCCTGTAAAGCACCCTGAGATAACTGCTGTGAATTGGTGCTGTATAAATAAAGCTGCCAGTAGGGATGGGTACCGGTGTCGGCACCGGTTCTGACATAAACGGTAGTAACCAGAC